ATATTAACAGCCTTCTAACCTTTATGGCTAGTGACAGTGTGGTGGAGACCATGTGGGGAGGAGGAGAAGAAAGAGAAGCTGTCAGTGTTGGTGACGGTGAGACAGGGAATGAGTTGGTGAGGTTGGAGTTGTTAGGGTATGCAAACTGGGCCTATAAAAGTTATTTTCCAGTAATAGTTATGCTCTTTTTGTGAAATCTGCCTTGTAAAAATCAGTAAGAATAGGTGGTGTTGCCTGGCCATAGATCATTATTTTACCCAGAGTACAAAGCTGATCAGAAAATTAGGGGATAATTACTCCTATTTGCTCCACTCCCTCCTACTGTTGAGCTCCTGATCCAGGGGAAAAAAAAGTCATTTGAGGTCTGTAGAAGGATAAAAAGAAACATTTTATTTAACATATAAGAAAAATTCCATTTACTTTTATAAAAATTGGAAAGTGAGAACATAAAACTCTAGTAAGCTGCCGGTCTTTGGAGGGAAACTGTTCCCTTAGTGAGTAGAACATCATTACCCTTTGGGCCAAATGAAACCAGTCAGGAGCTAAACCAGATTTTCAGTCTGTGATTTTCTAGCTTTAGTTCTAAGTCAGTGCTTCTCAACCTCAGCATTATTCACACATAATTTAAAGCTGATCATTCTTCGTTCTGGGGTTGGGAGGACGCTGTCATGAACATTATAAGATGTTTTAGCAACATTTCTAGCTTCTTCCCACTGGTCACCGGTAACGCCCCTCCCCCTCAGTTGTGACAATCAAAAGTATCTCTAGATACTGCTAGCAGGTAAAAAGGTTCCTGTGGGGTCCTCTTCCCTTTCACCCTCACTCCCCCTCTTTGAGAACTACCTTCTAGTGTGTTAGATGATTCATGATAATATTTTCCAGATTTTCGTTTTCTTTATTTTTTATTTTTTATTTTTAAGTTAGTGTCTCACTCTCACCCAGGCTAGAGTACAGTGGCACAATCACAGCTTACCATAGCATCCACCACAGTGATCCTTCCACCTCCATCTCCAGACTAGCTGGGACTATAGGTGTGTGTCACACCAACTGGCTAATTTTTTTGATTTATTTGTTTATTTATTTGTAGAGACAAGGTCTCACTATGTTGCCTAGGCTGGTCTTGAATTCCTGGGCTCAAGGGATCCTCCCACCTTGGCCTCCGTAAGTGCAGGGATTACAGGCATGAGCCACCAGACCCAACCTTAGCTTTACTTTTAAGTATTTTGTCACAAGTATCTTGGAAGAATAAGCTGTACTTTTAAGAACTGTAAAAATAAACTGGAGGCATGTCACTAATTTGGGGGTGAATGTGAGGACAAGATCTCTCCTTGATTTGAGAATTCAATGTTATGACCTTCGGGTGCCTAGTACAATGTTTTTCACATTACAGATGGAGACCTATTAGTGAGTCATGGAATAGTTTAGTGGGTCAGGAATATGCATGCGAAGGTATATAAGATCACAATGTAAAACGTATTTTTTATCCTGGAAGAACAGAGACAAACAGAAATAATGTTTATGCCCAGCCTTCTCTTTTGAACTGAAATGTTCTAAACATGCACTTCATAGTAGCAGGTGTTTAGTTAAGCTATTATCTAGTCAGGTTAATCTTGCCAAATATTCTTTGAAATATGAAACATCCAAACATGTTCATTTCAGTAGATTGGAGACGTGCTTCTAACTTTAGTTTCTGGGACATAGCATCTTGTTTGCAAGGGAAGGGAAGCTCTGAACCCCGTTACATATTTTAGACCAATCTTGGCATGTTACTTGTGGGCTGTTTATGCCCTCCCCATACAAGATTCTAAAAGAAGTGCAGTGCCTTTTTAATTGTTTCTTTATCAGGATGTAAGCGAAAGTCCTGTTTTTCGTCAGCTAATATTTATTTTGTTAACTTTTATAGAAATTACACTTTATGGTGGAAAGGGCAGAAAACATTTTGTGTATTTATTGAAAATCAAACGTAAACATGAGCATGAGACGTGTAACACTCTGCTTGTACTCTTTCTGTAAAAGTCATTTTTAAATGACAACCTTAAGTTGAATAATAGCCTATGGGGAATATGTTAAATGTGACAGTCTGCCATTACAAAGTCATGGATTCCGCTGTTAACAGAACATTCCTGAAATCCATCAACACTTTCAACCACTTAAAAAGCTGCTTAGTTTCTATTTATTAATGAAAATACATTTATATTTTGAGTTATTTAATTTATTTGCTGGTTTTTTCTTTTTTAAAGTTGAAACACTTCCAGGAAGCACATTTTCATCTTTTCAGACTAGTTTTGTAATGTCAGAAATTCTGTGGTAGGATAGTCTTTTTTCTTTTTCTCTAATGAAAAATGTTAACGATTGTTCAAAAGTTATTTATATTACAATTCATTTATTTTCGTAGTGGAGGTTTTTTTTTATATCACTATGTTTTTAATTTAGATGACATCCAGCAGAGATATTCAAGGTATTTTCATGGTAATTTCAGGGGAAATTGGTGGTTTTTTGTTTTTCTTTTTCTGGATTGTATGACTTTACAAGTTTTATATTTGCAAGAGGTCAGTCGGTATATTTTACAAAAACCCACATTTATTTCATTCCACCCTTATCTATTTTTGTATTATTGAGCTGTTATGCCTAGCTTGAGTCTAGTTTGAAATCACTTTTTCATAAGTGAATGTACAGTTTCATTATTTATTCAATTAATAAACATTTAGCATCTAGTACTTACTAGATACTGTGTAAAGTTCTTTTAGACTTTAAAAAACTTTCATCTGCTCTAGTAAATGATATCAGTACTACATTGTTCTTAAAAATATTAAAATGATAGAAAATTCTGTTACAGTCATCTATATCCATATTGAAATCCAGATTGAAATCCAGCAGTGTCACTTTTAATATAGCTTTTTGTGTAGATACTCTACTATTCTAAAAGATGATTATAGATAATTATTTAGAAGGAGAAAATACTATTATTTTTAAAGGATACATTCAACATCCAATTAGAAAGAAGTTCATTTGAATCCTGTTGTTAGAGAATGCCAAACAGTACAGCTGGAGCAGCAGCTGAAACTACTAAACAACATTAATGCTTCTTTCTGGATGCTTAGTAAAAACAAAAACAACAACAAAAAAACCCAACAGACTTTATGATAAAAGGAACGATGCACATATTTGATTTGTACAAACAATATGTTAAATTTTCTGAGTTTCTATGTCTAGTTGCTGAGGAAATTTCTAGAGCAAATAGTGCTGCTGCCAAGATATAAGGGTCATTTTTCCTCATCTTTAATAAGCCATTACACTGTTAACTTTAAAAAAATTTTATTCTATAGGAGAAAAAAGACTTTAGGGGAGGGACTACTAAAAAGTCAAAGCTCAGTAGAATATAAGATTAAACTTGATTAAATATTTCTTGAATGCTTCTGCAAAGCCAAAGAAACCATCAAGAGAGTGGAGAGACAGCCCAAGACTGGAAAAAGTGTTTGCCAACTGTACGTCTGACAAAAACCTAACATCCAGGATCTACAAGGAACTCAAACATGCCAAAAAGAAAAAAAACAAACAGCCCCTTTACAAAGTAGGCAAAAGATATGAATAGACACTTCTCAGAAGAAGACATACGAGCAGCCAACAGATACATGAAAAAATGCTCAGCCTCACTAGTCATCAAAGAAATGCAAATTAAAACTACACTGAGATACCACCTAATTCCAGTCAGGATGGCCATCATCAATAACTCAAAAAACAACCAATGCTGGAAAGGATGCGGTGAAACGAGAACACTTCTCACTGTTGATGGGAGTGTAAACTAGTATAGCCTCTGTGGAAAACATTGTGGCAATTCCTAAAAGATCTAAAAATCGGCCTTCCATTTGACCCTCTTCACAGCAACCTGGATGGACTTAGAGTCTATAATACTGAGTGATCTTTCACAGAAACAAAGAACTGAGTATCACATGTTCTTACTCATAAGCAGACCTTGAGCAATTATCTTAATACTATTAGAAAAGCATTGGCAGTAGTGAAAAACTGCCGGGAGGGATGCAGGGAAGCGGGATTGGCAGTAGTGGGAATCTACCTGAGGAAGTGGGGGGGCTTACTGCATCAACAAGGGTACCTATGTAATGAACATTTGTATACCTAACCCTGAATTGTACCCCACATCTTTAAAATAAAAGGAAAACACAATAAAATTAAAATAAATAAATTTTTAAAAAGATTGCTTGAATGGTTTCAAAAAGGAATGCCTTGTAGTCTGTTATATGGCCAGTAATCTATATAAACTTTAGTATATATTGTGTTTTTTAGAAATCATTCAGCTTCTCGGAGATTTTAGAACAATTTTGTGATATTGGTAGATACATGAAGCTGATCATATGTTTTTGTATTTTACTGTTGCTTTTTGAACAATTTCTATAAATGAATACTCTTTAAAATTGGATTTCTTATGATATGCATAAATATTTAATTACTACTAAGTTATATTTACTTATATTTGTTTAGAATGGGAAGTTATTTGAACTTATACATTATTTAGGTAATATTGATTATTTTGACCTAACTTGGTTTCTCTTGACTCCTGTGAGTAAATTTACTAAGAATTATGTCAACTGCTGCTTCTTGTGATTTGTTAAAGGATTCAGAACTACAACTAGAAAAGAGGAATAAGTTCTTATGTCATATACCACCGGAGGATGACTATGGTTAGCAATAATAGTTTCAAATAGCTAGGGGTATATCGAATGTTCCCCATATGAAGAAATGGTAAGTCTTTGAGATGGTAGATATGCTAATTACTCTGATCTGATCACTCTACATTATACGTATTAAAATGTTAGTATGTAGCCTATGAATACATACAGTTATTATTTGTCAATTAATAAAAGTGTTGGTGGTATAAAAGATGTGATGTCATACTTATTTTAAAATCTTTACAGAAAACCTGATGACTTACGGTATGAGTTAAAGATGTAAGAGTAATTATCATTCTTTTAACTTTTTTAAAGGTGATGGATGTGGGCACACTGTACTAGGCCCTGAAAGTGGAACCCTTACGTCCATAAACTACCCCCAGACCTATCCCAACAGCACTGTTTGTGAATGGGAGATTCGTGTAAAGATGGGAGAGAGAATTCGCATCAAATTTGGTGACTTTGACATTGAAGATTCCGATTCTTGTCACTTTAACTACTTGAGAATTTATAATGGAATTGGAGTCAGCAGAACTGAAATAGGTAGGACATTTTCTTGAAATATACATGTAAATACGTCATTGTCTCAAGTTTTAGAACTAAAGCAGTTTTTAAATATTAACATTGAATAATGTGCTGCATAAAGTGATATGTGGGAAGTTTTGAAAATGTGTGGAAATCTTAAATTTTTATCTTCTTTTAGGAAGAGAAGATTCTTGTTTGTTACCTTTTTTATTGGCTTTTCTAATAAGCATACGTTGGTACCTTTGCCCCAAATACCAGTGTACTACTTCTCAGAAGAAAGAAGTTATCTCATCTTTTGTGTTCCTTTGATCATTTTATTTACAGTTGAAGAATATGAGTATAATTTATGCTTAGGAGGCAGTGTAGCATGGTGATTAAGAACATAGATTTTGGATGAAAACTTCTGGGATTAAAGTATATAACCCTGCCATGAGCTTGCTGTGTAACTTGGGCAGGTTGCCTGACCCCTCTGTTTTTAGTCACTTGTAAAATAGGGAATGAGCTAGTACATGTAAAGTGCTTAGAACAGTTCCTAATACATAATATATGCTTAATAAATATAGTTGCTATTGTTATTCTTGATTAAGAGAAGTGGTTCTCAATTATAGCTGCATATTAGATTCACCTGACAAGACTTTAAAAAATTACTATATACCTTGTTCCTATCCTAGGCCAATTGTATCAGAATTGATTGGGTGGGACCCAGACATCAGTATTTTAAAAGCTTCCCTGGAAAATATGCTTTGCAGTAAAGGATTAAAACCTTTGGCTCAGAGATCTGTACCTTTCTTCTAAGCAAGAAAGATGGAAAAAAATTGCAAGGCTCTTTTTGCGAACGAACATTATAAAATAAAGTACTCTTGAATTCTCTGTGAGTTTACTTGGAAACATTTATTGGTGCCAGTGTGTAAAATACCTTTCAAAACTATAATAGAAACCCAGTATCGTGTTCTTTAAATACTGTACTATCCTCTGACCTCTTCTCCATCTGCAGCCAAACCCTCCATCTCTTCTCTACTTTTTGGCCCCCTACCTACCAGAGGAAGAATTCCTATATTTATTAAGCATATATTATGTATTAGGAACTGTTCTAAGCACTTTACATGTACTAGCTCATTCCCTATTTTACAAGTGACTAAAAACAGAGGGGTCAGGCAACTTGTTTCCCAAGTTGCTGATTGATAACCTCTGTCACTGTCACCTCTCGATTAACCTGGTAACTTTGGTAGATTGATCATCACATGCATATATGGTATAGGATAAAGTTTTAGGAATTTGAGTTGTCTAGGGATGTAGAAACACTATTGCTGTCACACTAGTAAAAGATAACTGAATAGTAAACTCCTCCTGAGGATGCAGTAGAGTAGACAGTGCCATGAAGCATTCTTGAAACAGCAGGGTGAAAGGTGAACCTCTAGCGCTGTCCAGGAAATAAAGGAGATAGGGAAATGTATTCTGTTGACTGTGAGGGCTATGGATATGAGAAATTCTGTAGAACAAATGATATGAGAAATTACGGATATGAGAAATTCTGTAGAACAAATGATCTAGTTTCTTCAACATATAAATAGCATTTTTTTTTAAAAAAAAGGAAAGGGGAGGAACTGTCTACACTGAGACATTATCTTCCAAAAGTAATGTGTAGGCTTTGTTTGCGTTTTGATTTAAGCAATCAACTGAAAGAAGACTTTTTAAGATTATTAAAGAAACTTTAGAGGAATTGGGCGTTCAGTGATACTAAAGAATGATTTTTTTAGATATGGTAATGCTAAAATTGTTTTTTAACTTCTAATTTGTTAGAGACATTCTGAAGTTCAAAAAAAAGGTCTAGGATTTATTTTTAAGTATTTAAGGAGAAAAAAGATGGGGCGAGATATGAGAGAAACCAGAATGGCACCTTGATGAAGCTGAGTAATGGGAACGTGGGAATTGATACACTCCCTTCTCTCTACTTTTATATATTTTTGAAAATTCCCATAATGAAAAATGTGGTTTTTGGTTTTTTTTAAATAAAAGAAACCAAGAGAATTACATATTTCGACAATAAGTAGTGGCACTGTTTCTGGAGAGGAAGAGTGACATGGGACACATTTTTGGGGGGCACAGGGTTTAAATCACTCACTTGGTTCTAATTTACAGCCCATGGAGTTACTTGCTGAAAGCCCTTTCAAAGGTATTAACCCTACCTAGACTTCAGAGTCATCTTCTGTATTTGTGGTGTTTGGCCTATCATGGGTGTTTCTCACCTGCCCCTCATTTCCGTTGTTTTCACTTCTTCCTATTGTTCTTGTGAGTGAGTGGAAACCTGCAGAAAGCTCAGGAGGCTGGTTGATGATGATTCCTGTTGGCTTTTTGTTTGCACCCACCCACCCCCATCATCACTTAGCATATACCCACTGGTCTTCGTTTTGTCAGCAAGTAAGTTTCTCGACGTATTGCAGAGAAATGGAGATCACTCAGGAATCGTCGTTGGACATTCTGGTTAAAATAGCGCTGCTGAGAATTACAGAATAGAAACAGATACATTTTGAGCATCGAGATTCCAGTGATGAAGCTACTGAGTCCTCTTTTTCCTATGTCATCTTTTTTCAATGCCCCATTCAGAGAAGAGGCATTAAAAGGAGAAGACGGTTCTTTGGTCTCTCTTTGCGAATTGTGATGTTGATGTGTTTGAAGTATATGGACAATTATTTTGTAGGCTATTTGTCTGAGGCTTCTCCATTATTAGACTCAGGTTTCTGACTTTTTGGCAGGAACGCCACCGAAGCAATGTCCTCAGTGTGTGGTGTCATGGCACATGATGTCAATTTGTTCTGTTACTGATGATGTTAACTTTGACATCTTGGCTAAGGTGATGCCTCCCAGGTTTCTGCACTGTACCTGTGTTTCTCTTCATAATCAATACATATCTTATGGGGAGACTCTTTAAAATGATGTAGATATCTTTTTACTCATTAAACTTGCACCCTCTAGTTTGGCCAACATTCTTGTCTGAATCAATCATTTTTTCTAATTTCATTATTCCTTCTATGTTTATTAGGTTTTTTTCCTACTGAAAAAGATATCTTTCTCTTCTCTCCCATTTGTTTACATCAGTGTGGACCAATGGATTCTCATGTTGGTCCATGGCTTATAACCCTTTACTATTGTTATTTATTTTGATGCTCAGATTGTCCCAAATTTCCAGTGGGAACCTCGTGAAGCTACCTCTTATGCCAGCTTGTGATGTCCTCATCATTCTTTTGAGTACTTCCTTATATTCTGGCACAGGATATTCTAGACGTATCTTGTGCTTGCCCTACCCCAGCCCTGGAATCAGCCGTTTCTTCAAGGAACTCTGGTTCTTTCTAGTGGAGATTAATATTATAAATCAGTGTCTGGTCACTAGGTTTAGACCAATAGGATTCCATGCCCTCAGCAGCCAGATTTAGTAAATAGACATTTGTATATTCATAGGTAGATACATATACATATGTTATATCTGTTTTAATATTTATTAAAGAGCATGAGTTTGTACTGATAACCTTCAGTACTAATCTGACATTATAGGGTTCACTCTATCCTTTTTCTTTTCATATTTGTAACTCACTTCTCTGACAGTGATAAATCTAGTTCCCATTAACTGTAATATATTTACTTATTTGTTCAGTGCTGTAACCAGAAAATAGTTTCAGAATGCTATCCCATAGTTCTAAGTGAAGGGAGCCTGCTAACTAGAATTCATATTTGTTTAGAGTCTTAACCTGAGGACTTACCATCTAAATACTAAGTTCAAAAATTCCTTGGGCTAGTTCTTACTTCTGCATCTCCTACGCTTCAGTGTGGTTATGTTATTAATTTGAAATATGGTTTGATTCATCTGTTTCTGTTCATATTCCATTATAGGTTTTTTTCTTCCATCCTTGTTGATTTTCTTTTTCTTTTGCTGAATATGTGAACTATCAGCATGATTCTTGAAGTTAGAACTGTACAAAAAGACATACTCAGATAAGTGACATTCCTCCCCACTGGTGCATTTTGTCTGTACTTACTACCCATCTCTGCCCCCTCCTTGTAGTTAACCAATTACGTTAGTCTCTGTTTTATCTTCACTGCATTTATTTTTTGTACAAATGCCATTCTTATATTTTCTTTTTTTCCCCTCTTTCTTATACAAAATCTAACATACTGTCAACATTCTTTCATACTTTGCCTCCCTCTCCCACCTAACACTGTATCCTGGAAATCTCTCTACATCACTTCATAGAGATGGTCCATTCTTTTCACAGCTCCATAGGACTTCATAGTGTGAATGTATCCAAGTTTAATTACTCTTTTATGAATGGTTATATTTGTTGCTTCCAATATTTTACACTTACAAACTCTTTGTATTCTTGGAGTGTGTCTTTAGAGTAGATTCCAGAAGTGCAGTTGCTGAGTCAGAAGGTAAATATATATGTGTGTAACTTTATTAGATATCAACACATTCTCCTCTATAGAGGTTGGGCCAATTCATATTTCCAGAGTGCATAAAAGTACATGTTTCCCACAGCCTTCCCAACTCAATGTGTTGTCATGCTTTTTAAGCTTTGCCAACTGATAGATGAGAAATAGTATCCTAGTATGGCTATAATGTGCATTTCTTTTACTATGAGTGAAATTGAACTTTTTTCCATATGTTGAAGGTCCTTTTTTTAAAAAACAAAAAACAAAAACTTTTTGTCTCTTCATGTCTTTTGCCCATTTTTCTGTCAAGTTTTTTGGGTTTTTTTTTACTTTTTTTTAAGATCTGGTCTCACTTGTTGCCCAGGCTGACCTCAACCCTGGGCTCAAGTGTCCTTCCCACCTCAGCTCCTGAGTACCAGAACAACATGCCATATGTCCATCTGTCAAATTTTTTTTTTTTGGTGCTTGTTTCTCAGAAGTTTTAAGAGTTCTCGTGATCTTTTAGGGACATTAGCTTGCATGTGATATATGCTGCAAATAATTTCTCCTAGTTTGTCAGTTGTCTTTTGACTTTGTATGAAGTTTATGCAGAC